ATCGCGTTGATTTTTGAGCATTATTTTTGCATTTATTGAAAAAAAAAATGTTTGTGTCAATACCGGCCGGCAGTGTACATAGAATCGCGGTGACAAGAAGTGGTGGAATTTACTGGTAAGAAAATTTTCCGCTTACAAAATCATCGGTAACGTGCATATAAGACCTGTAAGGGTGCTTGATAGCAAAAACTTCATAACTCAAGACATCCAAAATTGCAAACAAAGGCTTTAATATTTTTAGTTAGGTTTTTCGAATTGAACAAAACTAAATAATCTAGAGGAAACTGTCACTCAAAAATGCTATACATCTGCCCTGCTAATTTTTAGTTTCAAGTCTACACGACACCGACCTCCGCTTTCGAAAACGATTCTAAAAAATACCCGGATTTCCAATAGACATTTTAGCAAATTTGCGTATTAAAAAACTGGTGTTAATCTTTAAAAATAAAAGTCATTAAAGGTCGTCTTCTGAAGTAGGTTTCCACGTGCCAATGGTTTAATGGTAGAAAATGTTTCGTAATTTTTGACATTTCAATGCCTAGTGGAAATTCGCCATTATGTTGATATAAATACATAGTCATTAAGTATTTTTCCATTCGATTTTTGTTAAAGGTCACGCAATTTTTGTCATTTGACTGCCTAGTTGATTTTCAGCATAATACCCGATTTCCACCGGGCATTAATTGGCAACAATTTGAATGAAAAATTTGAGCATAAAGTAGTACTCTTGCCAGTATGCTAGAAGTTAAAATTTTTAAGTAACAAAATTGTTTGACACTTTAAAGCCCGGTGGAAATCCTGCTTAAAGATTAAAGTAAAAAAAATCGTAATTTAACTCACCATCACACGATAATGTCACATCCGCCAAAACGTCCGATTTGAATAGATTGGAGAATGTTATTGCCAAATTGGACGAGTAACTGTTCCATTTTAAACAAAATTGTTGCTGTGGATCCATTTTGAAGTATATTAAGTTAAGATTATTAATTAATTAAAAATTAAATGCCTTCGTTTTTTTTTTTTTTTTTGAAGCACTATCACCAAAAAATTAACAAATTAAACGACGTATGTATATTTGTTTGTTGCTTGTTGCAAGTAACCGGAACAAAGCAATAAAACTAAGTAAATAAGGTTTACGTATGTGTGTGTGTGTGTGTAAAAACAGCCAAATGGTTTGTAAAGCCCAATGTAGTTGAAGGCTTATTTTTATTTTTTGTTTGTTTGTTTGTTGTTGTTGTTGACCAGCAATGAAATCTCAAACGTTGGCCGCCACAAAATTTCGACGATTTTTCCAAAATCCAAAACGGCAGCTATGCTGGTGTTAGCCAGCCATGCAAGTGGGCTTTTGCAACTGGCGTTTGGCAATTTGTCTGCCTTTTTTTTATTTAATTCTTCCTTGCCAAAAAATAAAAATTTTCGCTTTCAATTTCCTCTGGTGTCATTTCTTTGCCAAAATTTGCTTTCTTCTTTTTAACTTTCCTCTTCTTCTTCTCCTCTTTCAAACATTCACCAACATGCGCTGCGCTGCACTCGTCGTTGGCTTCAATGGCATTCGCAAGGCGTACGCCAATGTCGGCATAAGCTTTGTGCGCCTATTTCCGTACCTGCGTTTCGTTAGCGACTGCGGCTGCGCCTGCGTATCCGTATCCGTATCCGTTGTTGCTGACGTTCTCCTCCTTAGCTTGCTTGCCGCCGTTGACTGGCTGTTGTGGAGCTTCCGGTATGCGGCGTTCGTTGTTTTTGTGCTGCTTGCGGCAAACCTGCGGGTCGTCGTCGTATTTGTAGCTTTTTTCACGCGATTGCGCTTCGTGCCGCGTAATTGACCTGCGTGTTGCGTATACGAGCAGTTAACTGCTGCAACTCCCACTCCAACTTGCCCTTGTTTTTGCTTCAACTTTTGCAACTGCGTCTGCGTCTGCGCTTGCGCTTGCGTTACTGCGTATCTGGTTTCTTGTTGTTGTTGTTCTGCTTCTGCAGCCACTAAGCAATCCGAATAAATTATGCCAAAACGAAATCTTCGATAAATTTTTTGCTGCATAAATTCTATACGTCGCTGTTTGAGTTCTCTGAAGAATTTCTGATAATGCCAAAGGGAATTTTCCAATTTTGTTGGTTTTCTGCTTTTGGGCGTTCTTCGCATTTAAATGGCTTGCTAGCGCCGGCGTGCGTTGCACCAAAATGCGCTCTCGCTACACTACACTACGCTACGCTACAGAATCGCACACGTTTTACTACGCAATTTCACTCGAGACACGTGTGCTGCGCCTGCGCAATAGCAAAGGTTGGCTTTTGTTTTGAATGGTATTCTTACCCTCCTTTGTGCTTCAAATAGTTGCTGCTGCTGCTGCTATTGCCGCTGCTCGCAAACACACGCTAATCGCTTACAATTTATTTGTCGCCGATATTTTATATGTACACGCACATCCGCACGCGGTGAAAAGCTGCAATGAAAATGAAAACGTAAAAAGTGATTAATGCAAATTGAAAGCGTAAAATTCATTTTATATAAGCAACGTCTAGGATACAAAAAAGAAGGTAGTTTCAATAAACAACTTTTTGAATAAAAAGCAGATTTTTGACAATTGCTCAATTGTGAAAAATTCGAAGCGGCATTACCCAATTGTAAGTTTTTTGGTGTGGGACATTTTATATCCTAAATTTGGGATTATAAAGAAAATAGTTGTATTAATATATACCTTTTAAAAATAATCAATATCTTATCTTGAAAACGTTTAAATTTTACATTAAATTCGATAACAACTTGCCACATCATTATTTTAATATTAATACAATTTTAGTGAACATATTTTAAAATTATGTTAGTGTCCTCATGTCATCTCATTATTTCACAATGTAGTTTTCTATATCGGATACGTGATTCTGATGTAATTCTGAAATTACACATTTACAGAAATTACTGAAATTACACATTTCGATGTGTTATTTAATACATATTGTCTTTGTCCATTTAACAGCAATGGAATTTACTTTGGAACCCATGGGCCGTAAAATTTTTCTAGCAACACATTGTTTTCACATGAAATTTTGACACACCCAAAATTGAAGGATAAAATAAATAGATAAAAACAAATTTTCAAAAAAGCTGATTTGCGTAGTCCAGGGGTGTCTTTAGTAAATGTTTTGGAAGCTGTTTTAATATATCCTATCTTATTATATAATTCTTAGCTTTTCTACATTCTGAGAAGTTGAGAGAATGAAGTCTAATATTCTTTTTTGGTCAACTACGATGTTTGATTTCATTTTTTGCAATCATTAGTTCATTTCGCTTGAGGAGTCATAATGCCCATACCGGCTTTTTTTTTGAAATTTCGGACACAAGTTTTCGAATAATGGTTATAGGCTAAAACAAAACCGATATCTAAAGGGCGTGTAGAACCTCCCATACAAATCGAATTTTTCATAGTGCATATCTCTGGAAGTATTTGTGGTAGAGTCCTGGAACTTTGTATGGATATATGTATATGAAGTCAATCTCAAGCTCATGGAAAAATATGAGTTTATTGGAAAATGCGGCGTGCCACCGTAGAACTAGGAATAGAGGTAAATGAAATCAATCCCAAACCTATGAAAAATGGGGGTGTATGAAAACAATCTCGTAGCCGTTGAAAAGAGCTAGCGGTATAAGCCAAATAAACTAAAATTCTGGTGACGCATGGATACCTCTGGAAGCATTTACCTAGAATACTGTGATAAGGTATTTTTCCAACGAAAATATGTACAGAAAAACGGGCGCCACACCTTCTGGAAAGTAACATGATCACAGGTGTATCCCGAAAACCATTTTAAGCTAAACCTTCGGGGATTACATTCTTGCCAAGACCCACAGACATAAGCCGAAATTGCGTCGCAAGTTTTATGCTCGGCTTGGGTAAGGTTTAACCACTTAACCCCCCTACCTCGCTACTGAATTCTATAAACTGTCAGCTTTCACACAATTTAAAATATACAATTGTGTTGCTAGCTTCATGTTGCAAAAATGTTTCAAGGAAATGTTGTGGAATTTCACACTTATTTCTTGTTTATTTCTTATTATGCTATGCTTAAGAACAAAATATTTTAAATCGACAAAACATTAATAAGAAAATTTGAAGGATTTTAGATATTGGGTATGGTAGCACGAAATGTCCGTCTGTCCGTCCGTCTGTGCACACGATAACTCGAGTAAAAATTAATATATCTTAACGAAACTTGGTACGTGTACTTCTTTCGGGCGTAGGACGGATGGTATTAAAAATGGGAAAAATCGGACAATAACCACGCCTACCTCCCATACAACG